TAGTGTTATGGCTTGTCACGAAGATCTTAATGGTGTGCCACGCCGTTTGCCAGTTGCGTCCTGACCATCACCAACTCGTGTGTAAACCCAGTTTTTGATAAGTCGTCGCGGTAGCCTCAACTTACGGCCCCATATTCTTCTGTGTGAAACGTATTTTTGATGCATTCCGTGGACGGTTAATTTAGGGTGTTTATCTTCGTGAACTGTAACCTTTATTCTACATATTTTTTAACTAGTCCGTCGAGTTCCAGATGGGAGACCCTTTGTGGACTTTTGGCCGCAATATGGTTCACTGAGCAGTGTCGAGCCTCTATACCGTATCACCCCATGGGGGATGTCCCTCATGCCGGATCATCATGCGGTCCTCCTGAACTACTATCTTATCACTCTTCTGTCACAAGTGCATAAAGTTTTACCAAATCATGGTAAATCATATTCGAGATACCTGAAGCTGCTCAATAGTGAAGAACAAGTTAGATTCTGAACAGCGTTCTCCACTGTATACCACTTCCACTTCGTGAAGCTGTTAACACAAAATTGCAAGGAATACAATTTTTTCTCTACTACGCTTTCATCTACATCAGCAAAGCGCTCGATTCCATCGAGCTGAGTCCTATGCTGCTGAACAACATTGCAGTATAAACCCTGTCCACGTCGACCTGATCGAGGAACTGAACACCGAAACCGCATCTGAGATGACGCTGTTCGATGAAGAGTGTCGAATTAACATCAAGAGAGGAGTACACCAAGGAAACACCACTACCCCTAAGCCATTCGTGAGGGCACTCGAATCCCTTCGGAACGGCCGAACGGGGCGGCGGCATTAACAGATGACGTCATTATGTCTTTTATCGACGCAGTGGAACTCCAACCAAAGATTATGTAGTTGTAGAAGGAGTTACGTACTATCGCACTGGAGATGAGCATCGCCAAGATTGAATGGATAAGCTACGATCACTGTCCATGAGTACCATCTTCATTGACGTAGCATAAGTGGAAAAAGTCGTTAGCTGCGAATACCTCGACCGCCTAATAAACTCCAGCAAAATATCAACATCAAGATAACAGAAGAGGGAGAGAGGCATGGACAAGCTTCAATCCCATCAACGCATAGAACAAACTACCAAATTCCGCGAGGAAAAAACTGCTCAACTTCAACATTCTATCCTCAGTGATTCAAGGCGGGGAGTGCTAGACTGTCACCAAGGGTGAGGAAAGGAAACTGGTAGAAACGAAAGGGTAATGGGAGGAAAAATATGGCCTCCCACCTCCCTATGAGACCATGTTTAAAGTGCGACAGTTGTTGCCAGACACGACTTTTGGATGCAATTACTGACCCGTATAAATGGAAGAGATAGGCTGGCCATATGGATCGTCTGAAGGATAACAGCTAGTTATCAAGAGTAACTAACTGGATCGCCCAATGCAACAGATGTCCAGTCAATTGCTCATAATCACGCTGGATAACCAGGAAGAAGTTGGTTAGTCAACGATGGAAGCAAAGACGGCGACACTGAGAAGAGAAGCGGTACGTCTATTTGAGTCTGAGATACGGCGCTGAAGAAAATGAGTCAAATAACATGAAATCATGATGAAACGTTTTCTAGACAAAGTCCGGATCTCTTTCACGAAAGTCTTATATGTGGAGGTATACAACAGCTAATCGATACTACTGACCCTATGAGTTATCATATGTTTGAAAATGGTTATATACCGCGTAGACTACCAAAGATACAGTATTACAGATAGAATGGTGTAAAAAGTGGCGTTACTCAATCACCGCACTATCCGCAGCATCTTTAGAGTTGGGTGTAAATAAACCGTGTTTCATACTATGTTTTTCAAAACGCTACGGCGAATTCAAACTGTAAACTTTAAACCATTTTTCAGATGTCACCTTTTACATCATCTCCTTCTTCCATGACCGTTTCTCCATGCTGATCGCAGACGCAGACGCATAAGACATCAGACGCAATGCCTTCCACGTTCTAGCCTTTCTGGTTGTTCACAGAAGACAACTAGAGTCCGGAACAGACACCTTCTATATATTTTCACCAGGTTAGTCTTGACTGTTCTCTGGGATTTCTGCCGGTCGGCTGGGCAAGAAACAGTTGTTTAACCCTCCTTTCTGGAGATATTCGCAACACATTCACAAACAATTGCAGCTGTGACTTTTTAGACCGGAAGCAGAGGATGTCCACCCAGGCACTCTTAAAGATCTATACTACTGGAAACGACGAGACGAGTAAGACCAAAGACTCGTCTCAGAACGCCCATTTTATCCACTCGTACCCAGTTGCGAAGCTTCCCAGACATGGTCCACGATCATGGCCAGAGGAAAGCACCGGGTTCACTACCGATCTGAACACTGAGAGCTTAGTCTTCAGACTCAGCTATGCTTTACTCACAATTGTTCCGGCTAGTTCACCCAAAATGCCACTGGCTACTCGATCTCTTCCTCAAATTTTCTATTACTAGAAAATACGACTCTGCGGTATTCAACTTCTCCTCCTGCTCCACTGCCTCTCCGTTAATCGGAAGAGAGTAAGGCATAAGAACGAGAAAGTACAAGGCTTTTCGTTTTAGATGCGTTCACACTCGTGCAGGTCATCTCGCTCCCGGCTATGAACCTTCCCAGGGCGCACTACAGATCAGTTTCAGAAGAAGCCAATAAAACAAGATCGTCTGCAAACAGCAACATTCTCGACTTCACATCTCTTATACCGATACCCTCACCACCTTGGCAGCTCCTGAGTATTCCATCCATATACAACACAAACAGGATAGGGGACAGGACGCAGCCTTGGCGGAAACCACTGCGAATGTTGAATGATTTCGACTTAACGTCGTTTACTCTGACGCAGCACCTGCTACAGGAATATAGTGACTGGAGGGCCCTTAGCAGCTGGCCATCTATCCCGTATGTTCGCAAGCATGATCACGGAGTGTTGCCTGGGATCCGGAAATGGGCTTTTTCTAGATAAACAAAACACGTACACCGGATTGGCGTACTCCCATGATTTCTCAACATTCTGAGGCAGGGCAAATATATGGTCAGAGGTGCTTCGATCGGGCCGGATGCCACACTACTCTTCATCCATCTTGGAGTCAGCTATTCCGCGGCACCTTTTTTCTAGCACCATTGCTACATTATACCTGGGAGGCTCAATAACGTAATGCCACTCCTTGTGTTCTCCCTTCTTGAATAGGGGTAAAATGACTCCCATTCTCCAGTCCGATAGTGTTTTTTCCGCAGTGATCGAAGTTTCACAGGCACGGTAAGCCAGCACATGCCTTGTTCGCCTAATACCTTGACCATCTCAGGGCGGATTTTGTTAATTCCAGCAGCTTTTCCATTTTTCAAGCTTTTCACAGCCTGTGTAATTTTATCTACAGAGATTGTAATATTCGTTACCTTCTGCTCTACAGGAAAGGCTTCCTGCGGTTGCCCGAGGTTAAGGAGTTCCTCAAAGTACTCCCTCCGTCGCTGAAGAATGTCATCATCCTTGGTAGTAGGGTGTCCAGACCTTCCTTCGAGACTCTAGGACTGCCCTTCTTTTCACCTGGGAGCGTGCGGATGGTCTGCTAGAATACTTTGTTTGTTGTGTGGAAATTCGACTCCAACACCTCACCGAATTTCTCCTAGGAATCAGCTTTGGCCTTCGCCATTGCTATGGCTGCCGCTTTGCGTGCCTCGACATGCCGCACGCGAGTAGATGGCTCTTTGTTTCCAAGCCATTTCTTGAACGCTGCTTTCTTCTCTTTAATTGCCAGCTGTACCTCTCGTGTCCACCATGAAGATCCTTTCTGACCTCCAGGCGGCAGGCCAACCCGTTTA